GGCAATTCTAGGTCTTTGATGGTTCCATATAAATTTTATTATGATTTGTTCTAGTTCCAGTCTTTAGAGGACTCTGGTCTCTGTCTCTTTAGCCTTTGGGAAAGAGTGAGAAGCAGGGAGGGCAAGAGAGAGACAAAGACAGACCCTGGTCTCCCCCCATCCGAGTGTTCTTCTCCTCTACAGAGGGGGACAGGCGAGAGAGCCACGCCCACTGCCACTCACTATTCATATTTTACATATGACTCTATTAACCATAGACAATGCAATCAGAGTCTTGGTATCTGAAATACCAGATTCTAGGAGAGGAGTTAGGAAGCCCGCCTTACACATCCTTGGATTGGGGGTGACAAGGTGGCCCGCCGCTTCTCTAGAGGACAGTGAGCGGCACACCTACACTCACCACTGTCCTCTGCTCCGTAACAGGATGTGTGGCGGGTTCCTGAGGCGGCTGGTGGTGGAGGAGAGCCGGCACGCCACCCCTGTGGGGCGCCTCCTGCTTCCTGTGCTCCTGGGATTCCGCCTGGTGCTGCTGGCCGCCAGTGGGACGGGGGTCTTCAGTGATGAGCAGAGCGAATTCGTGTGTCACACCCAGCAGCCGGGCTGCAAGGCCGCCTGCTACGATGCCTTCCACCCTCTCTCCCCTCTGCGCTTCTGGGCCTTCCAGGTCATCCTGGTGGCGGTGCCCAGCATCCTCTATGTGGGGGTCACGCTGTATCACGTGATCTGGCAGTGGGAAGCAGGAAAGGTGAAGAGGGAAGAAGGGACACTGAGCGGCCAGGGGGAGGAGAGCCAGGGTGCCTCAGGGGCTGGGAGCCCCAGGCTGCTCTGGGCCTACGTGGCACAGCTGGGGGTGCGCCTGGCCCTTGAGGGGGCAGCCTTGGGGGGACAGTACCATCTGTATGGGTTCAAGATGCCCAGCTCCTTCTCATGTCGTCAAGAGCCTTGCCTTGGTAGTACAACATGTAATCTGTCTCGTCCCGCTGAGAAGACCATCTTCCTAAAGACCATGTTCGGGGTCACTGGGCTCTGTCTCCTGTTTACTCTTTTGGAGCTGGTGCTCCTGGGCGTGGGGAGATGGTGGAAGACCCGGAAGGACAAAGCTCCCTCTTCTAACTACTTCCCATCTTCAGAGAGCACCAAAAGACACCGGGAACCAACTGGTAACTTCCCAGCGGTGGAAACAAAAGAACAGTTCCAAGAAGCAGGTGGGAGGGGCACCGATGTCCCTCTTGCTTCCTGCCCCTGATGCATCCATCCCGGTGATCTTCCACAGCAGGTCCCTTGCCCTCTGGGAAGTACAACTCCCACGTGTTACAAGGGAGAAAACCAGGTTCTAGGCAGATGTCTTCTGACCGCTGCTCCCAAAACACCCCCCAACTGCCATCTCCATCAATCGGGTGGTTCTTTCCAGTGAACCGGGACCACAGTGTGCAGTCAGTTGTACCTCTGGCTTTTCCATTTAGGTCTCTTCCCACTTAGAAGAAGTCTCAGCTTCTGCTTGATTCTCTACTTTGCAGAGTTATGAAGACACCTGGCTCACCCGTGAAGGAAACCCTATGACTGGATCTTCTTTGGAACATCCAGTGAGTGGGGATTTATCTCCAGGGCAAATCAGAGGCTACTGATGTATATCCAAGAGCCACGGTAGGCCATGCTGTCTGCAGCATGTCCTTGAAGGGCTCCTGCCTGTGCCTTCTCACCAAATCCCCCGGTGTCAGCATCACGGTTTTCATGGGTTTCACTCCAGAGCCAGCCAGCAGAAGCCTCCATAAGATCGTGCCTCTCCCTGTCCTGTGCAATAAATATTGGTCACCGTTGTTGGTGTTCTTGTGGCTGAAGACACTCCTTCTTCCTGTCTCAGTGACTCTACATCTCTCTCCTGTTCCCCCTGCCTTCAAAGTTCTGTAACCTATAAACGCCCCTAGCCCCGCAGCAGATGGCATATCCAGACTCTGAGCTTCCAAGAATATATAACCAAGTGTCCTTTAACATGGAGATCAGATTTGTTCAAACACCCAGCCGAACTATTTAGGGAGATTACTGTGAATTCAGAGGCTTATGTCCCTTGGACCACTGACAGCTCTGATTCTGCTCAACCCTCCTTCTCTGCTTTGTGCCCTGCAGCTGCTCCACTGTCTCCAGCACAGGAACAGCCCATATGGGGAACCAAGTCCTTACTTTCCAAACCCATACCCCTCAATACCACACAGAAAAGACAGCAGTTTTACTGCTGATTCAGGGGTAAAAATAAGGGACATTTATATCACAGTATGATTCAGCAGGCTGAATAGCAGCCTTCTTTTCTTGAGACTCTCAGTCATTTCTGCCCCAAAGCATCCTAGCCTCCCACTGTTTTGTAGAAACACCTCCCTTCTCAGTTCTTCCTTGCCTTCAAATACTCAACAAAGAGCAGTTACCTAGTTTTGTTTTCTCCTCTGAATCACAAATGATCCTGGAGTAAATTAGGAAGGCTCATTCCTAAGAAAAGGTATTTTATTCCCCAAGAGACACTTTGGCAACAACCAGTAAAATAATATATATTTTTCTTTCTGCTACACAGTGTTTCATAAAGAATCCCTTATCTACCATAGCCAGAACCCAGTCAAATCACCAAGAGCAGAAAAAAGCAAATGTCATCATTCTGAATTCCTCCTTGATGGCACCCCTTTTCAAACAGCTTTACTGAGATATAGTTCATGTACCATGTAATTCACCTACTTAAAGTATACAATTCAGTGGCTTTTAGTATAGTCACAGAGTTGTGTACCCATTAACAAAGCAATTTTAGAACACTTCCATCAACTCAAAAAGAAACCCTACACTATTTAGCTTTTAACTCCCAAACCGCCATGCCCCCCAAGCTTAAACAATCACTAATATACTTCCTATCTCTGTAGCTCTTCCCAGGCTGGGCTTTTCATCACACAAACAGAGTCATACAGTACGTTGTCTTTTGTGACTGGTTTCTTTCACTCAGCATTCTGGTTTTGAGGTTCATCCATGTAGTAGCAGTATCATCAGTACTTCACTCCTTTCATGATTGAATATTATTTCCCTGTATGGCGATACCACATTTTACTTATTCATTTTTCAGTTGGCCATTTGGATTGTTTCCACTTTGGGGCTATTATAAATAATGGTGCTATGAGCACTGATGTACTAGTTTTTGTGTGAACATATGTTTTCAATTCTCTTGGGTAAATACCTAGGACTGAAACTGCTGGGGCACATGGTAACACTTCAACTTTTCGAGGAAGGGCCGAACTTTCCACAGCAGCTGTACTATTTACTCATTTACATTCTTAGCAGTAATGTACAAATGGGTTCCAATTTATCCACATCTTCACCAATACTTGGCATTTTGTCCCCCCAGCATTTGATTTTTAAATTCTAGCCATCCTAGTGGGTGAAGTGATATTTCACTGTGGTTTTGATTTGCATTTTCCTAATAAATAATGGTGTTGAGCATATCTTTATGTGCTTATTGGCCATCTGTATAGCTTCTTTGGAGAAAAGTCTATTCAAATCCTTTGCTCATTTTTCAGTTGGGTTGTTTGTATTTTTGTTGTTGAGTTCTTCATATAGTCTGGATACTAAACCCTTATGAGATGTATGATTCCAAATATTTTCTCCTATTCAGTGGATTCTTTTACTTTATTGACAGTGTTCTTTGATACACAAAAGATTTTAATTCTGATGAAGTCCAACTTATTAATTTTTTCTTTTGTTGCTTACGACTTTGGTGTTATAGTGAATAAACCGTTGCTTAATCCATGACAATGAAGATTGCGCCTATGTTTCCTTCTAAAAGTTTTGTGGTTTTAGCTTACATTTAGGTCTTTGATTGATGTTGAATTAATTTTTGTATATGGTGTGAGGTAAGGGTCCAACTTCATTCTTTTGCATGTGGATGTCCAATTGTCCCAGCACCATTTTCCTGACATAACACGGTTTTGGCGTCCTTGTTGAAAAGCAAATGCTTGTAGATGTAAGGCATTGTTTCTGTACTTTCAATTCAATTCCATTGATCTATACGTCTGTTCTTAAGGCAGTACCACGTGGTGATTACTGTAGCTTTGTAATAACACTTGAAATTGAGAAGCGTGAATCCCCCTACGTTGTTCTTTTTCAAGATTGTTTGTCCAGTTGGGATCCTCTGAAATTCCATACGAATAAAATTGTAAATTAGGGAGCCTAAATGTTTTCAGTGAAGAAGGACGTTACTTTCATGGGTATGGCAGGATTGAAGACATTAAGGAGATATAGTTCAATATATAGGCAGACATACAGACACCCAGACACTCACACCACAAACATTCATAACAAACATTAGTAACTGATAAGAGCACCTCTTCCTGTTGGTCCGTATTAAGACTCAGATTCCTTCTCAATAGAATATTCCAATTTACAAAGAAAATGCAGCTATCAGTTGTATAATTTGAAAATTTAAAAACAGACATTCTGTGGAACTTTCATCAAAACCCCAAAACAGAGCTCTCAGGAATTCCTTTCCAAATCATTTAATCATACATTCAGTAACCACGTACTGAGCACATTACAGGACAGGCATTGTCTGATGTTGGGACACAAGAATTACAAATTTCATTCATAAGAAAAGGCATAGAGTGGGAAGAATGAAAGACAAAGCACCTCAGAAACACAAGATAAAAAATCCATTGAAGAGAAACAGATTAACACCCTGAAATAGGCAAGCATATTGTTTGTTGAAAGCCTCAGTGGATGTTACTTGGGATAACAAAACGGTTGCTGTCTTCAAGTTGGGTACCAAATATCAATGTACCTGCACTTCTGAATCTTAACCACTCTCACTTAAAACAGCTCATTTCCTTCTCACCACTCTCCCGGTTCTATCATGTCTTTCGCAAGAGACACGGTCTCAGCTCCACTCTCCAGGTATTGCTCTCACACCCTGGTCTTTACTTTATCAGGTAGGAGGGTCAGGATCTGCTCCTTCCCAGCATCTTAGATGACAGCTGCTCACAGCAGATCACCCCGAACTGGCTCAGAGCATCCTTAGGCCCACAGACCTCCTGGGCACTGAACCACCTAAAATACTGGAGGGAAGTCTCAAACCTGGGGAAGATCTTCTAACCCTAGATTCTCTCCCTTAACTTGACGATTAGAACCCCAATCTGCACTGGGTGAGCGTGCCCCATGCTCTGAGAATGGGCTTCCTCTGCCTGGTGTATATCCTCTGCTTATGAAGACAGAGAGGGAAATCAGGGTGGCAGGGTGATCAGATAGCTCCCCACTAGGATGTGGGCTAAACACTCCCTTTTTTGCTCACTTCTTAGAAAGCTGGCTCTCCACTTCGCCCGACTTCTCGAACACCAGGAGAGTCGGGGGGCTTCATGGGGGCAGCAAGAAATCCTGTCTTTATAGAAACTCCACTAGACCTCGGGGTTGGAGTACAAGAAAGGATTCCTTTCCTAGAGAATGAGGCTGAACGAAAAGACTTCAGGAAGGGCCAGCCTACGAGGCACGGCGCGCCCTTTAGCCTCGCTGCAGGCCCCGCTGCACAGATACCCCTCGTCCTCCTGGCCCTTCTGGCCACTAGGCTGCAGCTCGCCTAGGACTTCAGAACCTAAATCGTCCGGAGCGGCCGGCGAACACTGACCTCACTGAGCAAACTTGAAGGACTTGCCACGTTCATTAGCGCCCCCTAGTTTCGCTCCACCAGCCGCTGCTGCAGCTGCGCAGTCGCCGCACGCCGGGTACGCTCCCTAGACCTAAGGGCCCCGCGCGTCCTCTCTAGGAC